CTAACTAAACAAGTAAAACACTCACTTGTCTATAGTTGTTCTTACAAAAACAAATTTATGAAAAAATCTTTATTTACGGAGATAAAAAAATTATGAGGAGATTTTTGTGTATCATTAGGTATTTTTCTCTGTAAGTATAATTTTTTTGATAAAAAAGTCCTTCAAGCAGCGTTTTAGAAAAATAAAAAATACATGCATCAACTGAAAAATAGGTACACTATTTAAGGAGTAGTTCTTAAATCAGCTGAGGCTGTGGGTTAGGGTTATATTCCTAATTAAACTTTGTTATATTTTTATAAAAATATAACAAAGTTTTATAAATTGCTTTTGTAAATAAATGAATAAAAACATGAGATTTAATAACACAGGTCTGCGACATAAAAATTGTTTCAAATTTAATAAGTGATTTTTTATAGTTAGTCTAGTTTTAGCTTTTTTGATATTTTTTATAAACAGTTCAGTACTCTAGTAAGTTTGAATTTTGGTTTTAAGATCTCCACAAAGTGTTATTTAGCCTAAAGTACAAGTTGTTTTATGGACAATGGCTACCATAGGATGTATAAACTCACCAGATTACTTCTGCTACATTTGTGGTAACTATACCATTAAAAAGCGACAAAGAAACATCTCTGACAAAAATTAAGATTAAATATACATTAACAAAAATAGATAATAAAAAAAAAAAATTTAAAAGGAAAAAAAATTTAAAATCGTAAATTCTATTCACATCTAGAAGAAAGCTACGAGATGAGGAACATTTACAGAGCTCGTTTAACAATCCATATGACATGTGTATTCTTAGTGCGTTAAAGTACTAGCCTCTCCCTATGTAGTTATATTATTTACCTTCATCATACTACAGGTAAAAGGGTTGAAAGGTGCATAAAGTGAGGCTAATATTAAAGTTTTTCAATTTTTTCTCTCCCAAAATTAAGAGGAGAAAAAAAGGCAAGAAACCATGTTGGTTCTATTAACAAATATTCATGGAAACAAACTGAGTGCTTAGAAGAACTTTTGTCATACCCTAATGGTTTTAAAATTAATTTTTCTGAACTAACACGTAAATTTTCTGTGACAAATAAAAAAGGTAATAGCTTTAAATAGCTATTTTATAGTATTTTATCAAAAACAATATATAAAAATAGTTACACTTTTTTAACAGTAATGAATATAAATTAAAAAAAGAATTATTAAAAAATATTTTTAAGGTATTACACTTGTTAATGGAAGACAAGTACTGAAAAAACTTTTAGAATCTATGAATTGTAACCTAAAAAGGCTAAATCTTCAAAGACAAATGTCCGATATTAGAAACATTGATAACCAAAATATTAATAATATACAATACAGAAGAAAAAAACAAAGGTATTTATTAGCTTTAATGTACGTTTTTTAAAGATTAAAAAATGAGTACATTACTTTCCAGATTTTATTAACCATTCATGGTTTACTTATAATTTATAAGTTGAACCTTCCATACCTCAAAGATATCTTTGCCATTCGAGCCATCTAATAAAAAACTAAAGCAACAACTTCTAAAAAAATAGATGATGGAGCATATAGTTCAGGTGAAAAGGTTGTGCCTTAATGATATGAAACATATTTTTATCATCTGAAAATAAAGTCATTGCAAAAAAAGGAGTTTATATTGAAGGTAGAAAAATTTATTTAAAAGATATAAGCTAAGTATGCTCACGAGATTTTTATGAAAGTTTAAAATAATATTGAACTAGAAGCCCTTTCTCGACAGGAAATTGTGGATGCTCTTCGCAATATTCAAGAATATAAAGATGCATATGATGCACAAACTAAAAATGAGCTGATACTTAAGTCTTATGAAAGAACAAGGAATTTATATGTTTTGGCATGATTGCTCCAGTATTTCTAATCACACCCACTTTCCTGTTACAGTTAGTGTTATGTATAATACAGCCATGCTTTTAAGTAACTTTGAATACAAAGAAAAGTATGGTGAGTTAATAAAATGTTCAAGCAGAGGTTGAAAAGCCCTATTTATACATACTTGGTAGTTGTCCGTCCAATGACCAGCAAATTTTATATAGTAATGACAGAATTATTAACATTAAAAACCAAATTATATTTATGTCTAAAAAAATTTGCTCACTGGAAAATAGTTTTGAAACTATTTTCCAGTGAGCAAATCCAGGTTTCGCATTTTTTGTAAAATCAAGACCCGAATTATCTAAATTTATTTAAACCGTTTATACTCGTTTAACCGTTTTTCCATTAATAAATTGGGATAGGTAAATAATTTAATAGGTATATTATATTAAATAAGTATTTTTAATATATTATAGCAAAATTTGTTATAACTTATACACTATTAAAAATGAATTCGTTGTTTAAGTACTTATTATTTTCGGGTCAGGATTTTATAAAAAATGCATTTGCTCACTGGAAAATAGTTTCAACCCATTAAAAGCCTTGAGTAATGAAAAACCTTTAAAAACGTTTGATAATAAAATGGTGATGGCAGTTACAACTATATCAAAAATGGACCCCAATTTTTTGTTTTTACGTTGTTTTTTTAATTAATGTATTTCCTTATTGACGTATTACATAGTTTTATATTTTTTACTCATTTATAAAAGTATGTAATATAAAAATGATAGAAGTAAGTAGACGTTTAGAATATTACCATCAAGAACCATCGGCGCTTGAATTTTACTACACATTGTAAAATAAAATAAATTACTTTGAATGCTAAAATGTTTAACTAAAACCTTATCTGTTTCCATTCTAAATATATAATCAAATAATACTGCTAAGTTCTAAAAATAATTAAGTTTTAAAAAAGCTTTTTTTTGACAACTATATAGTTGATAAAAAAACTTTTTTTTAAAACAGTATTTTTTTTTTGCAACCATATAATTGTTCGGTAGTCGAACTGCGAACCGCGAATCGGTAAAATGCGAACTTTTTTGCAAACCATAGTTTTATATTATTCTAGTTAAATATCATAACTGTAGTAGTGGTCATTAAAATATAATGTCTTGGTTTGCAAAAATGGACGTTGTTTACCGCTTCGCAGTTCGCATACCTAATTGTAACGACTACCTAATTGTTCATTCCAGTCCACTGCGCTTTAGATCATGGGCAGTTTTTGAGGTTCGGTTTTCTCTCCTAACTTTACTCAACTGGCCCCGCCCTACCCAATTTTCAATTTGTAATAAAAATTAAAACAAATATTCTGCTGATTTCTAAAACAACTTTTGTTTTAAAGTGTTTATCTTGATTATTAGTTATGGAAAATTTGTGAGGTGAAAATAATTAATGTTTGTGAGAACAATCCCTAAACGCGTACATTACAGTTTGTTGACGAAAACATTTTGCATACTAGGAAATATAGAATCATTTTTTGCTGCAAAATAATTAAATTTAGAAACACCCGAAAAATAAAAACAACAAAAAACATTAATAAAGTTGTCCACTTAGAACCTTTTCTTCATTTTAGCCCACATTTATTATATCAGTTTGTCTCATTTTTTTATTAAACTTAATTTCATCGGAAATAATTGTTTAACTAATTTACTTTTTCAATAAAAAAAACTGAAAAATCTGATGGTAATTTTGTCTTCAACCCAAACCCTAAGTATACTTAGGGTTTGGGTTAAGTTACTAGTAACATGCGAAGAATGTGAGATGGAAAAATATTTAAAAAAAACAAACATAGACTAAACTTTGTCATAATGCCATACCACTGCAAAGCTCAGAGAGAACTTATTGATATAACTCGAAGTAAATGTTTTTATTACAAGTTCTATAAAATTATATAAAAAATATGTCTAGAAATCATTAAAACGTTATCACGTACAAATAACAAATTAAAAAAACTAATAAGCTATGTAAAAAGTTTTTACAAACAACATTTTATTTAGTGAAAGAATCTTTAACTAAGAACGACAAAAAGTTAACAGATTTTATTTAAATTTATTAATAAAAGAAAAAATAGAAATCTCTCTAATGTAAATATTTTTTATCTGAAATCTTTTTTAGATGATCTCTTTATATTCTTCTTATCAACTTAGCAAATTTTTATGTATGTATGTATGTATGCAGAGGCGATTTTACGGGGGGAAGGAGGGAGATGTTACACCCCCCTTCCCCGAAGAAAGTGATTTTCAAGTTTTAGTCGGTTTTTTATCGAATTTATTCGGCTAGTCGGGTATTTGACACAATTCAGTTGGTTAAATTTTCGTTTTAAGGAGTTTTTTTTTTTTTTTTTTTGTAGCCAGTTGGTACTTTTTCAGGATTAACCTCCCCCCCCCCTCTTTTTATTTGTAGAACCGCCTCTGTATGCATGTATGTATGTATGTATGTATGTATGTATGTATGTATGTATGTATGTATGTATGTATGTATGTATGTATGTATGTATGTATGTATGTATAGTTGTATGAATCAGATTAATTTTAACATTTATTTTGATCACTTTAATAAATTTAATTTTCAAAAATTTTTATTGAGGCACAAATTCCTAAAATCAAATCAATTCTCTCAGAACCTATCGGTTCTATATCTTATTTTTTTACTAGTTTTTTACTATCTTGGTTGATTGATTAGTTATGAATAATAAAATGCATATAGTTTTTATAAATTAACAATCAAATCCTTTTCAGTTTGATTTTCATTTTAATTTATTTATAGTTTTAAGCGAACAGTTCATTTAAAAAACAAAAGAAGGTCAAAAATTGAGTACAAAAAGTACTATTTAAAAATTAATTAAAATAGACTTTTCCTGTAAACTCTGAAGTTTTTTTTTTATGATGTGTGTTCTTGTTAGTAAAAATAGAATTTACCATATTTGGAATTTTAATTGTCAAAATATACCTTTAGTTTGTAAAAATTGTCTATGGAGTAAATTGGCAATAACAGTATGATTAATGACGCTTTTTTTTGGTTATGTTTTTTAATTATGTTTGTGTAGTTATGTTTGAAGTTTTTATTAAAAAAGTACTTTGAGATTTATTGATAATTAGAACGTCATTGGACACAAATAGACGCATCATTAGGACGTCATTGGACGCATCATACACAGAATTAAAATATTCTTTTTTGATTTTCATAAAAGTAAGTAAAATAAAAATGTATTTTTATCTTGTTATTGAAAACGTAGTATCTATGTAAAAATATCTTATAACTTTATGTGTAAATATCTTATAAAACCATGCGGAAATATATTTAAACTCTATGTAGAAATATCCTATAAATTCATCTGGAAAGTTTACAAAAAATAACATTTTTTTTTTTCTCACAAACTACATTTCAAACAAACAGTTTGCTTCATAATTACCAGTTACCCGCAATATCTTTTCGCAATGTAGAACCAAAAATATATATTCTTAAGTCAATTTTTATAGAAAAGAGGGCTAAAATAGATGTTATAACGAACGTTGTAAAGCTTTTATACAAACTTGTTGATCTAAATACTCTACTGTTGATAAATTTTAAACAACAACTCAAAAGACAAAACATCATAAATTTTTTATTGCAAATAATATACATTAAATATTTAATTTACATGAAAGTATTACCATAAAAAACCTTTATACATAGAGAGTACTGACTTCAAGTCTATGATTGATACATTACTGTCGAAATAAAAACTTGGTATTTTTGCAATAATAATCACAAAAGCTCCTTAAAGTTCGATTATTTTTACCATCTTCTTTACAAAATCGACTTCTATGAAATCACTAAAAAAGTTATTTTCTCTTTATATGCCGTTTTAGTTTTAGACAATTTTCAAATAAAAATATTTGTTTATTGGTTTTTGCTGATTTTTCTTTACCTCTTATCTTTTGTTAATTACTTTGTTTAGCTGTAAAAATAAAAAAGAGGGAAAAAACTTTAAGTGTTGTTTTCGGACGTCATTAAAAATACTGCAAACTTTTAACCAAAAGGTGGACAAAAAACGTGTAATTTTTGTTTCTTTTTTATGTATCTAGATATATGTATATTTTTAAACATGATTTGTGTGTGTATAAATATATATATATATATATATATATATATATAATATATATATATATATATATATATATATATATATATACATATATATATATATATATATATATATATATATATATATATATATATATATATATATATATATATATATATATATATATATATATATATATATATATATATATATATATATATATATATATATATATATATATATATATATATATATATATATATATATATATATATATATATATATATATATATATATATATAACCTAGGTAAGTAATTTTAAGTTATAATTTGAACCCAAACAATTTTGAGTTAATATTTGAACACAAAAATGGTTAAATCCAATATTTAACTTTTAATTATTTATGTTTTGTTACGAAATAAGAAGATGAATTATTTATTATATTATAACTTTTTGTTTGTAAAAGATTTTTAAAATGAGGGAGGCAAGCTTATTTAAAGTCTAAAAGGAGCAAACTTTTTTAAAAACTGAGATGTAAAAGGTGATGTAAGATGTACGAAACTGAGATGCAAGAAGTGCTAAAATAAGTGGTGAACTTTCGAAGTTTATTAACTAAACCTTCAAAACTTGTAAAGCTTTATGAATTTGTTATGATTAGCAAATTTTCATTTCTTAATAATGCTGGTCAAAAATAAAAAATAAAACAGAAGTAAAATAAAAAAATAAAAAGACAAGTTAAAGAACAGAATATTATTTATATATGTTTAATATATACATAATGCTTCCAAACAATAAAAACGTAGAAAGTTTTGAAATTTGTGTACACTCTTTGTTTTGATTTCTTACTGCACTGAACAACCAATAAAATTTGAAGTTGATTTTTTTATCTAATTTTTTCAAATATTGAATATCAACACATTCAAATACCCTATAATCAGTAAATTTTAAATTTTTCTTTTAAAGACTATATACAAGAAAGATTGACGGAAATGTGAGGGTTTTTTTCAATACCTAGAGAGTGAGTTTTTTGAGATGACTTAGAAGTTTAATCATTTATACCTAAACAAAACAAAATAGGAAACAAATGATTAAATGCTGGATTAAGAATATAATGAAACTCTAAACTCGGAAAAATTTAACCTTACGTCAAATAACTATTCTTTGCAAAAAAGTTACTGTAAAAAAGATCTCCTGGGAACAAAATGGTATAACCAGAAGTAACAAAAAGTTACTTCTGGTTATACCAAAAGAATCAAAATATGGGGGCGTCCATAAAGTACGTACGCTTTTTTTCGTCCACCCCTTCCCCCCCCCCACCCCCTTCCCACACACACACACATTTTGAAATACACTTTTTTGAGTACCCTCCACCTCCCTAAAAATATCTACGCTATAACACATTTATCTAACATTTAATGATATTTTTTAAATTTAGTGTCTCCTTTCTTTTATAATTGACCCACTGCCCTCCCATCTCATTTACGCCATTTGTACTAGCGTACGTACTTTTTGGACGATCCCTATGAGAGTAATGAATTATTAAAACCTTTTTTTACATTTTTAAACCAAACTTTTATTAAGTGGCAATTTTAACTTTCATTCAATAATCTCTAATTGTTTAAAAGCTGTAGCCGTATAACATTTACAAACTCATTTATAGGAGAATACTGTTTAGCTAACTTGTTTTGCAAAATTAAAAGCTACCTGGCTAATTTTCAAACACTAAGAGATTATTAAATTATATATAAATAATTTCATTGAAGGTTGGAACAATTTTTTATTATTATTGTTCTCAGAATTGAATTATTCAATTTTAAAAAAGAACTTCTATTTTACATAAGCATGATTGCACACAAGTTTATTCTTGCCTGAAAGTTACCACCTCAAAAACCAAAAAATGTCAAAAACCAGTAAACGTCCTTAAAATAATAAAAAAATATCTTTTAAAACATAAACTAAAAATTTCAAAGATTTTTGAATATAGGATACGCTTATATATATATATATATATATATATATATATATATATATATATATATATATATATATATATATATATATATATATATATATATATATATATATATATATATATATATATATATATATATATATATATATATCCACTAAGTTTATTTGTTGAAACAAAAAATTTAACTAATTAGAAAAAACTGCCTCCTAAACTTTTGCTTTTTTAACTGATTTTATTTGTTTTGATTCTAATTATAAATTTTGCGTTTTCTGAAAGTAGTTTATCTATGTAATTTCTTTAAGGTTAAGAAAATTATTGGAGTTTTATTCCAAGCAAACTTTATGATGATTGATAGCTCGACCGCGTGGTTTTTTTCATCTCTTATTTGTGTTGTGTTTACAATATTTAATATCACAACAATTATTGTTATTCTATGCACAAGAAATCAAAGAAACAAAGTTAAAGCGTATCCTATACTTTTTTTTTTGGCTGCTTCTGCTTTGCAAGGATTTGTTGCATTCCCTTTGTACATTTTTAAAAAGATTGCGTACAAGGAAGATGTTCCGACGTGGTTATGTGATGCATCCCGGTTTACTTACATGCATACCGGTCATGTCTTAAGAATAAGTTTATTAATTGTAAGTTTTGATAGATTGTTTTCGATCAAAAATCCATTTAAATATCGCGAAGTTGTCTCTCGCACCAAAATGATTGCTCTTATAATAATTACTTGGTTTGTAACAGTGTCTGTAGATACAATGCCTTTCTACGTAAGAAACAAAAGTGATGAATCTTGTCATTATGTCCCAACTCGGGTTTGGGGTTTTTGCGTGATTGTATGTTACGATCTTTTGCCCTTTAGTATAATGGGTATAAATTATATGATAATATGGTGTATTGCTGCTCGATTAAATCTTGCAGATAATCATATCAAAGAGGACCTAAAACATCATATCGATAGGAACTGTCAAATAAATACAAATGGATCTAATATGTTTATAGACACCACCAAAACAGATAAAGGTACATTCAAAATACACTCAGATACGCGAATAAAGTCTAAAGCTGAACTTCTTCTAGAGATGAAAGCAACAAAAACTTCGTTACTGCTTTTATTGGTGTACATTGTTTGCTGGGCACCATTAGGTATATTTTACATGGTTGATCAATTTTGTGAAAATAGTTTATCCGATAAAAAAGCTGAAAAATTTGAAACAGCAAGAGCCGCAATAAAAATACTTTCTTCTACTTCAAGTTTATTTGCTCCTATAGTTTATTGTTGGTGGAACCATGAGTTTTTTGAAGCAGCTACTACATTACTTCACAAATATGGTTGTAAATTTTTTCGTCAGCAGATTGACCGTGTAAACTTAGTAAAAAAACTTTCATTCTGATACTTTTTATAATTATTAGATTGAGTAAAGATTTTGGCAGAGATATTTGCAAAAGATACAGAGTAGTTATTTACTTTATTCGACTTTATATGTAAAATGTATATAATCAATTTATTGGTGTTCAAGACTTTTAATATTTTTTTATAGACCACTCTGCCTAGTTTTTCTAAGTGATATCGCAGCATTCTTTTTAAGACAAAACTAATGGCTTGATCAAATATTAGACGCACGCACTCAAAACAATTTTAATTCCATAATCTGGATTACAAGTTAGGTAAGTTAGGTAAGGCGACAGATTTAACGCTGTGATAAACTTTTTGACTGAAAAGAAGTTTAAAATTGATAATTTTAATATCTTCACTTGATAATAACACTTTTTTTACATTTTGTTTAAATACTTTTGTTATTTCTTAGTTATCTATTTAACATATATAATTTTAAACATTCTTTAAGTCCTGGTGGTTTATAAACTCTTTTTTCTCAAAATAATAATAATACAAAAATTTGACACTTTTTTAATGTAATGAAATTTTCCTTATAACTTTATAACCGATGGCACAAGGGAGGGGGTTATTCCTTATAACCCCCTCCCTTGTGTCATCGGCCCTGAGTTAAAGGCTTTTTTTGGCTATTTGTGTTAAAATTCCTTTGAGTTATCAAAAATGTTGCTTCTATAAATTACATTAGGAGTTTCTTTGAGTTATCAAAAATGTTGCTTCTATAAATTACATATAGTCAGTTACATTATAAATACCAATTACACCACAAGGTCCATTTTGATTTTTTTTATCTTAAATGATTTAAAAAAGTGTTGTTATTTGTTTATCATAATAAACTCATCGTGTTATTATTATTATGTCATAAAATCAGCGTGTTATCATTTTTATTATCATTATTATACAATAATCATTGTGCTATTATCATTGTCTACATAATTAGCATGTATATTTCATGCATAAGTAAAATAACATACTGAACTATATTAAGCAAGCCTAAATGCTCTCAAAAATCATTCAGGTTTAAAAAAGTTCAAATTGAACTTTTGAAGTGTAGTATTATTTTACCTAATCATATTCAAATTAAAAAAAAACCTCTCTTGGATGAGTGCTGTAACTTATAATAGCTAAATATCCGCACACTAACCCGTTCTCTACCCTTTTCCCGACTTCATAGCGCCCTCCCTCTTATCTTCCCGGTAAGATTTGAAGCCCCAGTTTGCGCCTGCAATAACAAATACTTTTCAACTGAATCAATCTGGTGTTTTGTCACTTGCCAAGGAGGGGGTTAACAAAGGTCTAAAAATAAAAAAAAGGTCCGCCTTATTTCATTTATAAGTTACTTTCTTTTTAGCTAATAGTAAAAAAGAAATACAACTGACGGTTACTGCTAAGCATTAAGCTTTAGGCAACATTAAGCTGAAGAAGTAAAGACTATAAAGCTGAAGGAGTAAAGACACTGTGCACTATAGTTTTGTCGTATTTTTATAAATTAGAATTGGTATAAAATTGAAAAAATAGACATTTAAAAATTAAGAAGAAAAAAAAGAATTTTCTTGATCACAAAACTTATAAAAACATTTAAAAATTAAAAAATTATTCAAATATTATTATTCATTACTTAAAACTAATAAATTCATTTTCATGTAGTTTGTTTGTTAAAAATGCATGAATTTAATTTTAAAATCATTAATTGGGCATAGTGAAATAACCTATTTGCTGTACCCCAATTCAGTGTGCCCCACCATAACAAATTAAGTTTAAATCTAATTTCTTGGGACATGAGTGTTGTTAAAAGAAAAGCTAATCCAGGAAAAAAAGTTCTATAGAATTTTCTATAAAGTTTTGAAACATATGGCCTAAAGAAACTCTATAAAATTTTTATAGAATGTCTATTAATTTCTATAGAAATTGCTTTAAAACTTTTTTTTTCTAAATAATAAAAAATACAAAAAAAAATTTCAACAGGAATTTTTATAGAAGTTAACAGAAACTCTATAGAAATTCTATGTAATTCTATACAATTTCTATAGGCTATATGTTTCAAAAGTTTATATAAAATTTTATAGAACTTTTTATCCCGGAAAACTACTAAAAGAAAGCATATATATCAATAATCCGAATGAAAAACTTTAACTTCTAAAATTATTTCAACCATGATCTCCATAACAAACATAAGGAAGATAAGAAAACTTACTTTAGCTGAAAACAAAAATTATCTTCCAAAAACCGGTAGTCAAGTATTATGTGGTAATAACTACAAATAAAGATGGCTGATATATGACCACATAAAATGATTACAATATCAAGATGAACAAAATTCTTATATTTAAAAAATGTCTCTTATTAACTGTGCCCCTCGATCCACTGTACCCCAACTTCCACTAATTTACAAAGCCAAGCATATGTTTTTATAATATAACAAAACGTGAAAATAAAAATTGTTTACTTTTTGCAAATTCATAAAACTGCAGATAAAGCAACAATTATCTTCATTGAAGATAATTTTTTGCTTTTTTGCTTAATAACATAAATTAAATAATGTATTATAAACGGTTAATAGCTTTTTGAATGGGCACGAATTTATCCGATTTCGAGCTTTTGAGGTTCTGAACAAAGATTTTGCTTAAGACGAATGCAATTTTTCTTTATACAAAAACATAAAGGAAAAATTTGCAAACTGCCAAGGAAAAAAAGTTGGAATTTTCTTTAAACTTTTGAAAAATATGGCCTTTATAAATTCTATAGAATTCTATAGAATTTCTGTAGAGTTTCTGTTAACTTCCATAAAAATTCCTGTTGAAATTTTTTTTCTACTTTTTTTTTTATTGAAAAAAAAGTTTTAAAGCAATTTCTATAGAAATTTATAGACGTTCTATAGAAATTCTAATGCCATATCTTTCAAAAGTTTATAGAAAATTCTATAGAACTTTTTTTCCTGGGTGTAAAATCCTTATGCAATTTATCAGCTTGTTTATCAATTTTTTTTAAGTTGCACAATTAGTATCCAGACTTTTTATATCTAGATCCAGATTAGATTAGACGGATTGACCACTAAGTTTTTTTAATCTTTAAACGCAATAGAATTTTAATTATATACAAGATTATATAAATTATGTAGACATGTTTTGACATCAAAAATTCAAATTCTTGCTTCTAGAGCGTGCATCTTAAAATTAACACCGATTTTAAAATCATTTTTTCTAGTCCACGGTGTTTTTGAACCTCTCAAACAAAAATAGTTGAGCGAAGTATTTTGAAAGATAACTTCGTTTTTAACCACGTCATAACAATTGAGTATTTTTCGTTTTGTTTTTCTGATAGTTTCTCGGCTAGTCTTCTAACAAACTTATGACAATTCTTACCCATACCTCCATTTATACCAAAAACTAGTGGTGTCAAACTGCCATGTTCGACTTCACGAGCTCGTTCGCCATATTCTCTTTTTTTTCCTTTTTGTCTTTTCTGAATATAGTAGCTATATCTAGATTTTTGTTGCTCATGGAATTGACATGCGTAACTCCTATGTCAAAAAACGCTGTCTGTCTACTTCGTCAAAACCATTTGCTTTGATATCCAAAGAGCTTAGTTACTTTTATTTGCTGCTCTATGGAAATGAAAATTCTCATTATCAAGGGGTATGAAGTGTGGTTCGAATTGAACATTTATGCAGAATCAAGTTGCATTGAATCAACTGCAAATATTTTCTCGGTGTGATGGTTAAGTCTGTTACTAGATGATATTTTTATCTTCTTGAACATTCCCGGTAGCTTTTTGTTTTTAAAATTGTGTTTTAATCTATAATTTGTATAAGGTTTTTAGTAGGGATGTATCGGGATTCAGTTCCGTTCAGAATTTCGGCCGGAATTTGCAACTTTTAGATTATTCCGGTTCCGGCCGGAATTTCAGGCTGAAATGCCGGAATTTATTTTTTACTTTACTGTGCAAATTAAATCAAACAAGACCTATGGATAAACCTAGGTAAAAATACAAAATTCCTAATAAATACAATGTAATTTTAAGTGAAGCTGCAGTTTAGCGCTCTAAAATGATTTTATTTTTTTGCTTGTTGCGCTCTCGTTAGTGGAGAGTTTTTAAACATTAGAAATTTTAGTTAAAATAACAAAATAAAAAAGATTGCTGTCCTAAGCAAATTCTTCAATCAATGAAACAAATTTCCTCGTAGAAGCAGGCAATAAAATAGTTAGTGTAGCAACACTACCTTGTAGCAGCGGGCTATAAGATAATGGATGTAGTAGCACTCCTTTGTAGCAGCAGGCTATAAGATAATAGATGTAGCAGCACTCCCTTGTAGCACCAGGCTATAAGATAGTAAATGTATGTACTAAAGCCAATAAATATTCTTTATGTTATATAAAAAATGTACTAAATGTATGTACTAAAGCCAATAAATATTCTTATGTTATATAAAAAAGTTACCACTTTAAGCAAGTTCATACAAAAGTTCACCACTTTGGGCAAGTTCACACAAAAGCGCAATAAGCAATAAAATAAAATAATTTTAGACCGCATATTTGTAGCATTGCCTAATTTTATTGTGTATAATTTTGTGAAGAGTATTGTGATGCAAACAGAGTTGCTATCCAGTTTTAGGCAACAAACAAGCTCTTTTTTCATCAAAAATATTACCTGCGTCTGAAAAAAGTCTCATTTTTAATTTTTCTTAAATTTTTGACTTGACTCATTGTAGATCTTAATGTTGTCTTGACTAGACCAAGCTTACTGAAAGACCGTTCTCCTTCCGCGATGGAAACGGGAATTGTGTTAAAAATACGCAACAAAATGCATATTGATTTGAAAATAGACTCTAGACCTTTTTGATAGATTCCATTTAATGGCTTCATTAAAGTGAGATATGCTTTTGGAACGAAAAAATTGACGTGCTTCAGAGTATCCAGATGACGGACCTCTGAAATAAGTTTATCTTCATATACATCGTTTACATAGATTTACGCTAAAGTTTTACATTTCTCCTCCAGGCGAGGTGGTTCAATTTCTTTTTCTTCACTATTCGATTATGAGAGCCATTGAAAAGAGAAACTTTTTGTCCTCTTTTTTGCAGTCTCTTATTTGTTGAATTAAAGTAACGAGAGCGGTGTTAAATACATTTACCTCAAACTGCTTTTTATCG